CGACAGTTCTTTACGGTACATTTTGAGCGACCCGCGCTTTCCCGTCGGAAGGAACGCAACCTGCCGTATCGACCGGTAGAGGAAACGTCACGAGAAGGTTTCGTCTCCGGCCGCCTAGTGGCAGCAGGAGCTAAGCCAATGAATCGAAGAACCCAAGCAGTTATCACATTTTTCATAGGTAATGGCACCTTTCTCAATTTGCAAATCACCCTATGTTCATGAACATCTTAAAGTACAATATTCTAGTATACCTTCCAGTGAAGAAAACTGAAGGAAAGAAGATTCTAGAGAAAAATCCCAGAGAAGAGAATATTTGAGACAGTGAGTACGTTACTTTTCTATTTCCCTCCTATAAAATATAGGAATTTAATGAAGCACTTGTTTCACGAACCTGGATATTATTTTTTGCCCAGTTCTTGCAAACTCTTGCTTAGGAAAAAAATGTCTGCTATAAGAGACAATCAGTAGGTTGTTCAATAACAGCATGGAGTTCAACAATTGAAATTTAAGATTTAATTTAAATTGTCTTTTTTGTACATTCATAAGCCGAATTGGAAATGTACATCTCATTTCTGAAGAGAAATTCCAAACGAATCTGGATTGTAGTATTCGTAGGACGTTATTTTGCGCCTAAATATATACCGCATACACGTAAACAGAAATTACGGGCATTCTATTAACGCCGGTGTTGCAATTGAATCAATCTCACGAGATGCAGAGCGTACTCAGCTATTGCTCCATTGCGAGGACGAGCAATATAATAACAGCCTTTCGAGAGATGACGTTTTAACTATGCGTCGTTGCACATTTCGTCGATTACTTTCTCGTTGCCCTACGTGTCGAGACAAAGTGCAACGAGCGTAGGAGGCATGTAATCATAATAATTGAGTACGGATAGGCCTCGTTGACGACTCCCTCATTACACCGCCCCTACCGGGGCCTTAACCGCACCATTATCTTGTAACCTTCTTCTCTGTCACTGCATCGTTTAACGAGGAGCTCCCAATTACCACGAAGTATCTCCTAGAAATTAATCCTCCTGCTGTAAACTAGGCTCACGAGCCAGAGCCTGGTAATCCGGTTTCAACCCCCCTCTAATTGTCGAGCAAAGATGCACCAAGCACTCGTGTAACCACAATATTTCTGAGGCTAATTCCCGCAATTCAATATTAAACGAATTAATTGAATAATTCAGTTTTACGCAATATCCAATTGATATCATCGGGTCATAACATCCGGATTTAATTAAGGTGAAGTGAAATACGTCGAGGAACTTGATCAACGTCGATAGAGATTTTTCTAAATGCCTACGTTGGCGACGTTCGCTTTTATATTGACAGCTGTACCGAATTATGTTGGGTATTGCACCAAATGGCATACTCCACCTGTCGTTTTCGTACAATAATTATAAAGAAATCGAAGTAAAACTCCAGAAATCCTCTGGATTCATGCTTTCTGGGACCCTAATTGACTGCAGAGGGACCCCTGCGCCATCTGTGATTTCCAGGCCGATTAAATTTTCTCTCCGAAATCTCGTATTACCATCGTTTTGGCATAGAAGGGTATACAACACTTTTTTTGCCCTTATCCCGTTCAAATGCGAGTTTATCGATTACCAGAGTGTTCTAAATTGTCGTAAAATTGTCCCGACCCTTTCGATTCTCATATCAGAGCCTTCGATAATTGTATATTGATCGAAATATGAGAGCTCGACGCCAATTTGGTTCTGGTCTGGGCTGAGTTAAAAAATGTTGTTAAAAAATCGAAATTTTGAATGTGTCAGGACAATTCTTAGATGATCAGGAGTGATGTGTCAAAGTTTCGGACTTCACCTTAAGGATGAATAAAACTAGTTCTCAGGGGGGAGAAAATCATCTGCAAATCGTTACGAAGTTTAGGAGAAGAACAAGGGAATTCCGGACGCCTGAGGAGGTGTCCTGCAGGGGAAAACAAACTGCATGCAAGAAAAAATGCTTGCAAGAGGGAAGTAATTTCGTCCTCGGGCGGGAAACGAAAATTACCGGAATCACTCAAACCTTTTCGATGAATGGCACCTCGACTATCCACAGCTGTCATAGAATCACTGAAACCTAAACTATGACGAATTTAAGGTTTTTTGGGTCGCTGATTTCAAATTTGTACTTTAAATTTCAAAGAAACAAAATGACGGTCTGAAAGTAACCATTTTTTGCGATAAAAGCTACTTTTCAAAATCCAAATTAGAGTATTCATATTTTCTGTAAAGTAGATTTCAATTTAATATTCTCCTCGAAAGAAACAAAATGGCGGACCGGCAGCAACCGCATGTAACCACTCTTTTCAGGACAATTCTTAGACGATCAGGAGTGATGTGTCAAAGTTTCGGAGAGTTTGGTCTAATACCCTTAAAAAAAAGTGTTGTATTCGAATCAATTGATTTGAAGGGGGTTTCACCACCTTAAGGATGCTTTCAAGATGAATAAAACTAGTTTTCAGGTGGGAGAAAATCATCCGCAAATCGTTACGAAGATTAGGAGAAGAACAAGGGAATTCCGGACGCCTGAGGAGGTGTCCTGCAGGGGGAAACAAACTGCATGCAAGAAAAAATGCTTGCAAGAGGGAAGTAATTTCGTCCTCGGGCGGGAAACGAAAATGACCGGAATCACTCAAACCTTTTCGATGAATGGCACCTCGACTATCCACAGCTGCCCACTGGACGTTGATGTCGGTTCGGCTTGCCGGCTTCGGTCGTAACTTCTCGCTCGAACACTCAAAAATCATCACTAGACCCTCGAAAAATGGACTCTATGAACTCGTTAAACCCGAAGCGCGTCCGAGGACTCTCCACGGAAGACTGAAAGCTCAGGGCGAATTAAGAAAGGACCCTCGCCGTGCCTCGCCTCGTTTTCGGTCGGAAAAAACCCAAACGGCGAGCGGCCGAGGGACAGCTTAGCACTTTGTAAACAAATACAAAAACCTATACAGATAAGTAGATCAGGGCTAGAGAGGTGAGACGTAGCAGAGAAATAAGACCTACTTCGAAACACCATCATATTTTGTACTTCCCCCCCGTATTCTTCATCATGACGCTTTTTCGTGACGCGAATTAGGCTTCCCTCTGCCAAACAAAGTTTCACTTCAGGACAATTCTTAGATGATCAGGAGTGATGTGTTAAAGTTTCGGACAGTTTGGTCTAATACCCTTAAAAAAAAAGCATTGTATTCGAATCGACTGATTTGAAGGGTGTTTCACTTCACTTTAAGTTCCTTCATTGTGCTAGTACATACACTTTAAAGGCTCTGTCAATTTACTGGCATTATATATTAACACTAAATCTACCGACGATTTATACCCCCATTACAAATACCATTTAAACCGGTCAATTTGACCCGCCGGTGGTAGGTTTAGTGTTAAAAGAGCAGCCAGGGACGACGCGTACTTTTAAAAGAATGTTTACCAACTTTTATTCCTGGAGTGAACAGTTTCAAGAGCCATTCGCGAGGAAAAATTCGAGGATGACATTTCCGGACATCCATTATCATTCACCCGTGATTACGTACCTCTCAATGAATGTCCTTTCTGGAAAATATGAAGAAAGCCTCCTTACATCTCCACACAAGACCACGATAATATCTGTTTAAAACGCTTATCAAGTTCCCGCTAGTTTCCTACGTAAAGTCTCGGATACAACTCGCACCTCATAATCGGACTTTGAAATAAAACGACTCGCAAATGATTCAGAGAATCTGAAATATTCCTTAAGAGCGCGGTTTTACGAGCCTCCCCCAGGGGGTAGTTCGGGGGTTGAAAGTTCCGGCAGACTTGGAAAGTCATTCGTCTACGTCGGGGCACCTCACGGGGAGCAACTTCCCCGAAGAATCTGAATAGATTATTGGCCCACCTCGGTCGCGACAAAAGCTCTCTATCTGGCTCTTTTAGGCTTTACTTATTAAGTTCACATTTTCCCGTAAAGTGGCGCTCAAGACCCGGCGTACTTGGAATAGCAATGAGAGGGCGGTAACCGTGTCGTCGGCCTTAGATTCCGGCCAAGGGTGGCCAGGGGTGATTGCGAGTACCGCTCAAGAGTTGACGATGCTCTTTCGAACAACGAGATACGTGATCGCAACTCCTTCCTAACCCGACACTGAGAAGCTGCCGTTGTTTTTCTTTATTTTTTTTCCTTCTCCAATCCTGAAGTCCACGTAGGGAGTTTGCTTTTTTCCAGCCCTTTGCACTTCGATGCCGCGTTTGTCTGTGGCGGAAATTTCACTGACACGTTGTAAAGCGATATTGTCACGTGGGGCGATATCTTAAGATGATATGAAGGCTTTGAGAAATTTAATCGAGGTCGATCAATTAAAATTTATCTTTGCCCTTTTCACTGGTAACGCCATTTTGAGTACTCAAGTGGTAACAAACTGGCGCGTCACGTTACTGACATTTATATTTATGTTGAACTCGTTTACAGTCTACGTTGAGAATTATACGGACTGAAGCGTTCCATATGTCATTTCGGTAAAGTAATGATGAAGAAATCGACGTAAAACTGTAGAAATACCGTGAATTCATTATATTATATAGTCTAGTTTACCTACAATCTCCATATTCATTTCCGCCAACTTTTCATCAAACTGACTGATCGCGAAATTGATCGGTTTCTGACTCGTATGATCTAGTGATTCGGCTTTCGAGGTACCATTCAAATGACTAATGTCACTGGTCCAGGTACTCACGAGCTTCGGCGAGGGGCCGACGTTGAACGATGCTTCAATAATTACACGTGCGCGTATGAAATGGCGGATTTAAGTGCAGCTAAGGAACGGCTTGTTAAGGCGAGTAGTTACATTAAGGTAAATGTACCAGTGGCCGAAGACCGGACCTAAGATGCCGTTCAGATTCCGATAATAATTTAGCATATAAAGACCAATATGAGGTACAAATGACTTAAGGTGAAGTGAAACACGTCGAGGATATTATACTAAAGTAAACGTTTTGCAAATATTTCAAATGTCTGGTAAATATTAAAAAAATGTAGGATATTCGTTAAATATATAGAAAATATAAGAGAAATATTTTGTGCTACTAGGGTGCTTTCATTGGCCTTTATAGTGGCTATTATAGTGTATCGACACGTGAAAGTAATCTGAGTTTAGGCTTTAACGATAACTACTGGAGAGTTTGTGTGACTTCAAGATGTTCAAGATGTTATCACAGAAAATGTCAATTTGGAAAATGTACATGAGACATAGAGTGGTAGTTAATTCGTCAAATGTGAATCCTTTAATCGTACTTTCGATGACTAGGATTCGATGATAAGAAAATAGAAGGATTAAGGGACTAGAAAGTAAAAGCTAATTTCTGGGCTCTGAAGGTGCATGGATATAGTAACTACCATTGTAACAGTCATAAGGATATTTAATTACGATATCAATTCGTAAGAACCGAAGTTTCGCAGAGTGATTTAGAGATTTAAAATCGAAAATCATCTACGATGTGATATGCGAATGTTGGTCGTACAATTGTTCCTTTTGTTCCTATCACTTGTAAAAATCAGACTTAAATCTTGTTAAAGTATATGCTCCGGTTCAGGCACGTAGAAAGTGGGACGAATAAATGAACGCACGCACGCCAAAGAATTTCCTTTTTCAATTTTAATGCTCGACGTGCGCATTCAGATTGCCATCGTTTAATGATTTAAGACGGATTCATTAAGCATTAGTCATCACATGCATAACATCTTTTAGGTCAATTTCTGATGGAATCATATTTGTTCCTGTTGCAGTGCTTTTATACATTTGTAACAGTTCCAAAGCAACGATACTTTTAGGCTTTCGATTAATTAAATATAGCGGATAAAATTAATCACCATATCAGAAGCCTTTGATATAAATTATTAATTATTATCCCATCCCTATCATTAGGCTCTTCATGTTTAACCTTAAATAGACAGTTATAACACGGTTTTGCCATAAACGTAGATCCCTTACGTAGTACACAATATTCGGGAAACATTTCTGAAACATCTGACACATCTTAATGCACGAAACGTTTTTTTCTTTTTTTTTGGGAACAAAAGGTTGTGGCGTTGCGCTGTGCGTGTAAGGACATCTCGGAATACTTCGAGATTAATAACCTGACTCGAAAGGCTTATTTCTTTTTTTAATTATCAGTAACAGCTGAGAATGATTTGAGCATTTGGGGGTGTAAATTGTGACAACAAGCGAACAAGTGCAGGACGATTAGCCGAACATAAGAGAAAAGTCTTCTTTGCAAATTGTCTCAGAGTAATAAACAGAAACGGCCTTTTGGAAAACACCTAACTGCTATGTAAATTATCGTTTAGTTTTGATGCATGTATTTTGATGCGTATTACTGAATCGAATCCGTTCATTACTGCTCTTTCTCAACTTATACGTAATGGCTGCCGTAATTACTCATGTATGAGAGGACAATAGCACGAACGGTATACCGTTTTTCTTCACAATGCTCATCTGGGCACGTGAAAGATTTTTCAGAATATATAGTCATTTTTTTTTGTATAGTGCGGTTATTGATATAACAATTATAAACACATCTGTTTTTTTTTTTCCGTTGAACTCTTATCGTTAATAATATTAAATCACTTTTACTCTGACGTTAGCTCACAGTGGTCAAGGTATTCGACCGTGGATGATTTTTTAAAAGGATTATGGATGCTTCTGGAGGCACCATAATTAACAGACGAGAATAGATACGAATGGTACGATAATGCCATTAACTGTAACGCATTTTTTTTTTTTTTTCGAATGTCGGCTTCGACGCCAAGAGAGTTAGAACTAATGAAGAGTGTGCCACATTGAAAGGGCTCCTGGAGAGCGTGTTACGTGGAGCCAGTGTTCCCGACCCTGGTTGTTCCCAGCTTCTGGTCCTATTCCTGGGATTGGCGCAGGTCCCAGGATGCAGGAGCCCACGATAACGTTTCCCCCGTTCAGGTCGCTATTAGAGTCCAACACGCAGATCTAACAAATCAGGAGGAATCATCGATTAGCAGGAAAAAGTTACACTTTTGGTCACCTAAATACCGGTAATTGTTACACTCCCAGGAGCATCGAGGGTGAACATTCAATGCAGTTGTTATGTTTCGTTGTACCGCCCAGATAGCATAAAATATTTATAGAATATAGAAAAGTTGAAAAATATTCCTCATGTATATGCGACATTGGAATGATAATTTAAGTACAATATTAAATTATGTACATATGATACCCTAGTAGCATAGAATAATTTCTACATATTTCTTTGTAATCTTTGCTGAATATCTCAAGCGACAGATTTTTCAAGATTTCTTGTAGATTTCATTCGAATTTAGTTTGATTGAATTTAGCACATAAATCCACATCCTATTAATATTGAAATATTTTCATAGAATATTCTATGGACCTCTGTGCTATGTATTTGTGCTGTCTGGGCGTTATATTTACGTAATATCTTCGTGATATTATTAATTGGGGAAAACGTACCTCGACGGCAGCTGTGAGCAGCGTCGAAGCTGAAATTTTAAACGAACGAGCCTCGTTCCAGACCGGATGTCTGGTCATCTTGTTTGGAGCCGTCTTCCACTTCTTCACCCTCCTATCCCCGAAAAGGAGGCTGACTTTACAATATGGATCTAAAGTTTCCTTGTTCTGAAATATTAACAAATATTAGACGATCGTTTAACTCGTAATTTGTAGAGGCTTAACACACCGTTGATGAAAGTATAATACCTCGGGAGGGAACAAATTTCTCGCCTCTAATACTCCCACTTCGAGTTTCTCCGCATTCGGAAGGTAAGATAGCGATACCAGGACTTCCTGTCTAGCTTCGGGTGGTTTTATATCTCGAGCAATTTCACCCCAAATTTCTGTGGGATAAGTGAAGGGCACCAATTGAAGCTCATCCATGGACACCCTTACGGTGCCGACTACGTCGTTCCTCGACAAGTGATCGTGATCGAATATCTGCGGAAGTATAAACGATCAAAATTAAATCCTGTTGTGTCAAGAGAAATTATAATTTCTAAATATTTCTTTGTAATCTTTGCTAAATATCTCAAGCGACAGATTTTTTAAGATCTCTAGTAGATTTCATTCGAACATATTTGAAATATTTCTTGAAAATCTCAATGACATATTTAGTTTCAATAATTTATACACATATAGAGAAATTATATTTTTTNCGTTACATATATATAAAATATAGGAGAAATATTTTGTGCCACTAGGGAAAGATCACGAAGGTCGTCCATTAATTAATTTCTATTCCATTTCGGACATTAACCGTGTTACCGCGACGTCGACCGTTTCTTAATTGGTCATGAGTCGAAATGATTGAAATATAAAGGGCCAGATCCGATCAATTCGAAACGATCGTGCGCAGCGTACAACTGTATCGCGTAATTGTATCGCACTGATTCGATTGTCGAGGCTGGCTGCAATTGTAATTAAATAACAGTTTTTAATGAAATTATCCCGGGTAGTTCGGGTGTTAAGGCCCTTTCGTTCGACCGGTGGATAGGGCGATTCAAAATTTCATATGATAGTTAAATTACCTGCAAAATCAGAGTTTTTTCTTGCAGATCGTCTTGGCTGACTGCGAATTTGAAATCCTGGTCGAATACTGGGTTAGGGTTGTTCTCGAATACGCTGGTTTGTCTTTCGCGACTGTCAACTTCCGGTACTAGGGTGACTTTTACGTATGGCTTGTTGAAACCCCCTTGGTTGATCCCAGCAAGATCGTGAGCCTCGATCAGATGCACTCTTAGATCAGACGTTTTGAAATCGTATTTCAGACGGAGATGCAGACGTCCCAAACTTTTCCCATCTCTGCGATCGAGTTTCATATGACAATCAGGGTGGAGAGAATAATGCGATAACAAATGCATACCAACTAACTCTTTGGGACATTCTGAGATGGTTAAGTTTCGACTAAGTTTAAAACAATCGTGTCTATAAATCACTCTTCGTTCCTCTGGCGACTTCAATTGTTTCCTTCAATTTAAGACTCAAATATATTACAAGTGCAATTTTTTTGAAGGATGTTTCCCATGTCAGAATTCCTAATTATTGTGTGCTATATTATGGTCTTTCTCATGTTTTTTAAGTAAGTTGAGAAGTTAAATTTTAACCTGCAGGAACTGAGAAAGAGTGGAGTTTCTCCTTGTTGATATAAGTCTGGCTGCAGAGTACCCAAAGGTAAGGACGGCGATGTTGGGCCACAGTCGTTGCTGCAAAAGTATTTTCAAGACTATTTAGGTTTAATGTTAATCCTGGTATCTTGTAATGAAACGTATATGGTCAATGGTAATCAAAGGGGTACAGCAGGTAACTTAGAGTTCTGATAACGCAATTAGTGATTGAGATTTTGAAATGTTGAAATTTTATGGAACCTAAGTCAAATTGCTACGGGCATATGTTATATTTTTATCGAAAGTTATTTGAAGTTCCTCTTTGATTTCTCCCACAGATGATTATTTACCAAGTTATAAACAATTAAAGTTGGCCAATCAGGGACAGGATACGATCGCGTTTTACGTGCGTTCCGGAGGCGCATTGCATCTCTCGGTCACTGATTTTTCACTTTATTTAATTTTCCGGTTATTCTCAGTTCATTATTAAATTAATGTCTTAAAGATAATATTTAACCTGTTAACTGCGAATTTACTGTAACGTTACGAATTACCGACGTGTATACACGTCGAACGCAGGTAACTGGTTAAATATTATTATTTAATTTAAATTTTATAATTGGAATAACTCTGAAGTCGTACATCACAATTGATCAATGCATTTCTAATTAATTAGATATTTCCTCTTGTGATATTCCTTTCTAATTGAATACCTCTCGCTTAAAAGTGTCAGTCGTTTCTTCCAAATCCTTAAATTTTACCTGCAAAAAGCAGCCTCCAATCGCCCTACCGTACCTCCACTTTGACTTAGTTCATCTGGAGTCATGAATCAGAATTTACCAAGCCAGTAATAATATCGATTGCTCAGCAAACGTTAACCACCACAGTTATGCACGTACCACAGGCTAGGGGGGTAACAGGAGCATATTGATTTTGGTGCACATCGGATTCTAAGGTGTTGGTAATATCAAGCCTTCTAGTAGTATTTTGTAAGATATCGAATGATTTCGCAAGAACCTAATGGACGTATTTCTAGGAGGTTTCCAAGACTTCAAAGATTTTTTTAAAACAGAGTGACATTCTTCAGGATTTCTTGCTACTTCGACAATGATATGACGCCAACCCAACAATGGACTTTTCGTCCTAGTTTGTTTTCCACGTTGAACTCTGAATTAACGTGTACCGCCTTGGTGATGTTAATTAAATGAAATATGGTTTCGTAGGTTGTAAGTGCTTCCGTGTTGTCGTGTACCTGTTAGAAGATCTGGGCGGAGGTATAAGCAGGGGTGAGCGACAGCTTCTGCCTGGTCTAGGAGCTGTTACAGACGGGGACCCACAGGAAGAGCCTGCACCCGTTGCTAAGGACGCGATCGAACCCTGAGAGGGAGAGACTGTTCCACTGTGGACGCCGCTGCAATTTGCAGGACTTCCGCACCGGGCATCTACTGACGCCGCTCGAGCTGGAGATGGTGGCCTGCAATTATTTTAACATAAATTAATATTTAAAATCGAGTCGCTTAAGGAAAAGTCATTTTAGCCGGATGAACTTTGATTTGATTATATAAATTAAATAATAAAAATGGTAAGGATTGAGATTTTCATAATTATTCAAGACACCGTAGAAAGATGTTTAAAGTCGCGTAAGTGCAGTCGTTTCATACGAGCTGGAGATGGTGGCCTGACATTATTTTAACATAAATTAATATTTAAAATCGAGTCGATTAAGGAAAAGTCATTTTAGCCGGATGAACTTTGATTTGATTATATAAATTAAATAATAAAAATGGTAAGGATTGAGATTTTCATAATTATTCAAGACACCGTAGAAAGATGTTTAAAGTCGCGTAAGTGCAGTCGTTTCATACGAGCTGGAGATGGTGGCCTGACATTATTTTAACATAAATTAATATTTAAAATCGAGTCGATTAAGGAAAAGTCATTTTAGCCGGATGAACTTTGATTTGATTATATAAATTAAATAATAAAAATGGTAAGGATTGAGATTTTCATAATTATTTAAGACACCGTAGACAGATGTTTAAAGTCGCGTAAGTGCAGTCGTTTCATATGTACAAGATGTATATTTTAGACGAATGTAAAATTATATTTACATGTACAAGAACGTGTCTCATTGAGTTAATATAAAAACTTATGACGTATCTCGGAAGTATCATTGACGAATGATGGAAACAAAGGAAATGTCCGACTTAATACGTTAATGATGCATTCCCGCTGTTTCTTCAGACGAGAAAATGGTGGAAGAATTGGATAATGATTCGACGACATCAAAGTAAAGAGAGCCGATAATACGTATTGATTGGTTCAATCGGTGGAAAAAGAGCATTGTAGACCACCTCTCGGTGGAATTGAGAAAAGGTTTACTTAAGAGGCATCTACCTAAAGGCAATTTTTATGCTGACTCTTTAGATGGAACGAGCAATTTATCGTATTTGTGTAAATGTCAGGCAACGTTACTTATTTTAGCATGATGATATTATTTTACATAAGAAATGCCGCGGTTGCGTATAGTTTGATAATTGGTACTATGTGGACAATAAAGCAGCAACGTAATAATAATGAATGGGCTATTAAGTTATAACATCAATACCTCCTCGTTTCATTTTTTGCATCTTCTTTAAGGTGATGTGAAAATGGCGTCAAAGAGTTCATGAAACTTTTCTGCAAACTGGGTGTACCCAATCGTTTCAAACTTTACAATACAAATGTGAAGATTTTAAGAAAGGTTCTGAGACCCATATTATTTTAATTTAAAAAAAATTTGTTTGTAGACATCTTTACCATTTTATTTTAAAAGAAATGAAATTTCATGGGTGTCAGGACCTTTCTCATAGCCTTCATCACATTGTAAAGTTTAGGAAGATTCAGTAAACCCAGTTCGGAAAAAAGTTTCATGAACAATTGACTCCTCAGATGCCACTTTCACATCTCCTAAGTACTTGACATGTTTCATTTGTATGCTGCGAAAGACATGATCAAAGCTTATTGTTAGTCTTAAATTTTCTTACAATTTTTCCTTTAGTTTTCTTGCCTAATTGTTGTTTTCTATACATGTATATTGTACGATTAGACACGTTTAATCTTGTCATTGAACTTTATATCTACTTATAGATATACAGGTAAATTACTGCGACAAGGAAATACAGTCTATCTGATTGATCTTATACATATGTTCATGACAAGAAGGTTTGAGCATTTTTTAGGTGATTACTGTCATGAAGAGATTCAAGAAATATACTTTATGGGTGGGGTATAATCATATTCGAACGATATGCCTATGATTACGATCGCACTTCACGTACTAGCAAGTTTGATCGTTCAATTTCCTTAGTTGGCAAATGGTTCCCCTGGTTCAGAAGTGCACATATTAAAGTTTCAGGCGGTTCCGCGCATTAACTTCGAAAAATAGATAGAACCTAAGTTTGCCAATAAACTCGCATAATAAAGTGTCAGTTCAGGTGACCCTTAAGGGGGTAACCATCGAATTTTACGAGAAATTTAAGCGAATTAACAAATGCAAATTTGATTCCACCTTTTACGAGTTCCGTTGACTTCATTCATCTCGTTCATTATAAATATTTACTAATAAAATTCTTTTCTGCTTAAGTGGATTTATCTGCGGTAGAAAACAACCACTGATATATTTATACGCACAAGACTATACCGCATGTAGTACCCTAGTAGCAGAAAATATTTGTCCTATATTTTCTATATATTTGACGAATATCCTAAATTTTTTAAATATTTACCAGACATTTGAAATATTTGCAAAACGTTTACTTTAGAATATTATCTCTATACTAAGGACGCGATCGAACCCTGAGAGGGAGAGACTGTTCCACTGTGGACGCCGCTGCAATTTGCAGGACTTCCGCACCGGGCATCTACTGACGCCGCTCGANATACAACAAAAAATAAAAGGCAAAATAACAAAAAATTATAAGTCGTTAAATTTGGTTCAATCTCCCTTATGACTTCTGTGGTAATAAAAACGTCAACTTATCTATAAGAAAAGAATAATGACTTTAATATGTCTTTAAACGTGGAAGATGAGCCATGGAATTTGTTTTTAATATTTTGCAGTCCGATTTAAAATGAACGAGGTACTTGACACGGTGAATATTTTTGGGTCACCAGTGAAAAGTCGAACGGCTGAAATGTAGAAAAACGTTTGGAGACCTTGAGCTTCTGTCGGGTGGGTAGGAGGAAGCTGTAGGTATCGGGTCCACGTGATGATGGCGGCCATCCGGACCGAAAGCTCTGATTTGCGGAGACGATCCACGATGTACCGAAGGACCCGAAGCTCCTTCCAGGGAGCTTTGACAGCCGACGGAAGAATTTCTTCCAAAAGTTCTGCCCCCTCCGGATCCTCCGGGGTAGCTGCGGCTTTGATGTGGTAATACTGCTCCTAAATGTTAAAAAAGTTAAATACACATTGTATTCGATATTGGAGCCAGCGCGATAATTTAAATAGTATTTATCCAATTGGACACTACTCGAGAATAAAAACTCCAATTGGAGGAAGCGTCATACCAGTGTCCGTTATTGGCTGTACAGCGTACTGTTCCTTTGTCACGTTGAATTTCTGTAATCATAAGTACCGTTTATTGTTAAACAGAAGTATTCGTTTGTAATTTCTGTAGGTATATTTTGCTTGTTAGTAGTAACAGAAATGAAGAACATTGATGAAGAAATAAGGAATAACTCGGTGCAATATCGAAACAGGAATGATTCAGTGTCTTTGATAAGTAGGGCGAAGAAGACGCCAAAGATGAAAAATTAGGTTCTCAGAAAAGATTTTTTACGTAACAAAATTTGAGAAGTAGTACCAGTCGTTTTGAATACGCACACTTTTCATAAATTCATGTTCAATTGGTGTTTCTGATTTTAAAAAATTGATACTGGAAAAATTATATTTTCAAAAGCACTTAGAAAATCGGTTTATGGGAAATAGAAATGCATTTCCCTCCATATTTCCGATTTCATGTCACAGGGAGAGAAATACTTTTTACACCCTTTCGAGTTTTTTATCAACATGGAACTTTGTAAACATGGAATCGTTTATGATAACATATTTACATAACGATTTATGCATGTCCTCCTGAATGTTGAAATGCAATTAATGTACATGGAGAAATTTTACTTCTGGTATTTTAACTTCTTTTTCTCCAGTGAAACTGTTACTTGTCTATTATGGATCTACAGTCTAAACTCTAAAGGATCATACGAACCAAATATTAATGTATTCTTAAACCCGAACAAAAAAACTGAGTATTTTAAAATGAATACTTCCTATTTTGACCGAGTGCCGAGAAAGAGACTAGAAATTGTTCCGTTTCATATGCAACCTAAAATCATTAATAACTTACCGAAATATACGTAATTGATGAAAATGTTTCGAGATATCTTAGCATAACATTAATAAATTTAATAAGGCATTATATCAATTTCATATCGCTCACACCTTAACAGTAGGCCAAATTGAATCTAAAGTTCTTGCGGGGAAAAAGAAATAAAATGTAAATACACGTACGAAGAATGAAATTGTTGCAATTAGATTTGAATACGTCGAAAATCGTTTGCGCATGCGCGGCCTCTTCAAACTTATATTACCACATAAAAGAAGAAGAGCGGTATAACGAGGGCGTATTATTGCACCGCTCGGATAAGTCTGACCAAATAATCGTCGAGCTACGTAATTAGCCCAATTAGTGCGGCACTCGTGTTTTCGTTCTCGCTCGTTTTATCTTCGTGGAGCTTTTTGCTCGAAAAGCACTGAACAATCGATGAGCTTTACTTATTCTTGAACTCGTCGCCTCGTCGACATGGCGTACGTCACACGTCCCGTTAAATGACGCTCCTGACCCAGATCGCAGTATTCCCCCCATTGTTCAAGTTCTTTTCTGTTCTGCGTTATTCTAATCCGACCGCAGGCTCTTTGTTTTCGATATTTGCGATCGCGAGTTCCTCATGACTTTGACCCACATTTCCCTCCGCAGTCGCTAACGGTTCACTTTTTCCCTATATTATTCGCCATCAATTCAATTATACGTCTCTTTGAATGCAATCACGAGCTGCGTATTTCCGAGTAATTACAGACAAATTACGTTTGAAAAGCGCGCCGGAGAATTTAAGTCTCTTCAACAGAAATATTCCCCAAAGCGCTTCCATTAAATGAAAAATGTTAATTCCAACGAATGAAAACGTTGCATATCTAGCCGAACATGAAGTATTCATAACAAGATTCGATAACTGGATTTCGTGACTCATAAGCCTCTTGAATCTTACCGTTCAAATACATGCACATGTATTCGTCTACGGAAAGAAAATCTTTTAAAATAATCATGAATTGTTCTCATGTAAAAGTTCTAATTTGATAATATTCTACCCTCGCGTTACAATCGAAAGCAAAGTGCTACAATTTTTGGAGGTGAATTCAGCACCCTTGGTCCACGACGTCGTAGAAAAAGAAAAAGTACTTGTCGATTAGGTCCACCCACCCTACATTTATAAAATGTCCGCCCGTCGATGTACCAAGACGAAAACTGTAGCACAAGGTTCCGAGCATGTCTCGGGGTGTAACTTGAATCTTACCGTTCAAATACGTGTACATGCATTCTTCTATGGAAAGAAAATCTTTTAAAATAATTATGAATTGTTCTCATGTAAAACTTCTAATTTGATAATATTCTACCTTCGCGTTACAATGGAAGGCAAACGTTGCTATAATTTTCGGAGGTGAATTTAGCTCCCTTGCTCCACGACGTCGTAGAAAAAGAAAAAGTACTTGTCGATTATTTCCACCCACCCTACATTTATTAAATGTCCGCCCGTCAATGTACCAAGACGAAAACTGTAGCCCAAGGTTCCGAGCATATTTCGGGATGTAACTTAGATTCGTCTATGGAAAGAAAATCTTTTAAAATAATTATGAATTGTTCTCATGTAAAACTTCTAATTTGATAATATTCTACCTTCGCGTTACAATGGAAGGCAAACGTTGCTATAATTTTCGGAGGTGAATTTAGCTCCCTTGCTCCACGACGTCGTAGAAAAAGAAAAAGTACTTGTCGATTAGGTCCACCCACCCTACATTTATTAAATGTCCGCCCGTCAATGTACCAAGACGAAAACTGTAGCCCAAGGTTCCGAGCATATTTCGGGATGTAACTTAGAATCAAGATGCGAAATTTTGAGAAACTGCGCCTTGAATGCCTCATTTGAAAATATTCTACCCTCGCGTTACAATCGAAAGCAAAGTTGCTACAATTTTCGGAGGTGAATTTAGCTCCCTTGCTCCACGACGTCGTAGAAAAAGAAAAAGAAAAAGTACTTGTTGATTATTTCCACCCACTTTAGATTTATTAAATGTCCGTCCGTCGATGTACCAAGACGAAAACTGTAGCCCAAGGTTCCGAGCATGTCTCGGGGTGTAACTTAGAATCAAGCCTCGGAATTTTGAGAAACTGCGCCTCGAATGCCTCATTTGAAAATATTCTACCCTCGCATTACAATCGAAGGCAAGAGTTGCTACAATTTTCAGAGGTGAATTTAGCTCCCTTGGTCCACGACGTTGTAGAAAAATAAAAAGAAAAGGTACTTGTCGATTATTTCCACCCACTTTAGATTTATTAAATGTCCGTCCGTCGATGTACCAAGACCAAAACTGTAGCCCAAGGTTCCGAGCATGTCTCGGGGTGTAACTTAGAATCAAGACTCGGAATTTTGAGAAACTGCGCCTCGAATGCCGGCGTCCGAGCGACCAAGGCGAAGTGGAAACATCGGAGGGGTCCGATCGATGGGCCAAAGGGGCGAGAGAGGCTCATGATTTTTCGACGGACTCGTAAGAATGTTTCTCCGAGGCCAAGGCGGGCTCGACCGGGCACGAGGGGTGAGGTCGCCGGAGGCTCCCTTTCACGGGTCGATACTCTATGAGCAGCGCGGGCGGAACCGTAAAGGCACCCCTGACCCTGCAGCCCTGCGACCCTGGGACGTCCCGGTTCCGCCCACCGGGCTAAAACACCAAATCCGTGCCCCTAGGCTGGTCCTATTCACCCCAAAGCAGTCAGAAATCAACCGTCTCGCTCTGGTACGGTCAGAAATCGAGATTCGATCCAACATCATCAACGCGTCGACGGATTCGTCCCGGCACGGCCGGAAGTCACCGGGTTCGGAGCGAAACTCCGAATCCGGTTAAAGGAGGCGTTCTTGTCAGCGTCCCGTCGCTCCGATTTCCCTGTTCTAATTAAATTCACGTTGGTTTACTCCGGGCAAACGCTTGCGGTCTTCTCAATTGCGTCAAAGGACGAAAAACGGAACATTGGTTGTGGTCGATATTTGACGGATGCGTCGATACGGTCCGATGAGATGTTCGGCCTGGAATCTTGCTCGTTTAGGATATAGGCTTCTTTCGTGAAAGTTACAATATTGTTGCTACAACAAAGTTGTTACAATATTGTAAACGACATGATTTCGCTGTTAAAGTGTCTAATTGCCAATTGCACGAAGACAAGGGATTTCTTCGGATCCATATAGTCTGGTTTAGGGAAGCTTTTATTTACCAAGACCCTCTTTTTTCTTTCTCTCTTGGCACACATTACGAAGTCCCATGTTCGCCCCTATTATTTTATTTTATTCAGAGGCAAGTGATGGTTTGCTGTTGTACCGTTTCTTCAGTACACGATTTTTCCGTAGAGATTTTTCTAACGCTTAGGAATTTCCGTAACTTTAAGTCACGTTAATTATTAATTACTGCTCGTTTCCTTGGAAGTAGATTCCTCGGATGATGAGCTTCGGTAAGCAACGAGTGGTTTCAATTACTTAAACTTGAATCGAACTCGGGAAGTCCTTCAGGAAACGGGAATTCCTGTTTTCAGCCTTTTCTTCCTTTGGCGGAAAGGAAATTCACGCTGACGTAGTGCCGAACAAGAAGTCTTGACCAAAAGTTTAGAGTCTTATCCCAGAGAACACAGAATCTTTGTTCGAGGTTCTACTTCGAGTGACTTTAAAACATTAAACTCGCTTAAAGGAAATTTATTCGGCCGCTGCTGTGTATTATTCATCTATGTCTTCTTTTCATCGTCATTCATAAACTTCAACTTGACTTTGCGTTACTCTCGACGTCATGATAAACCTCCCGCTCCTAAAATCCACCCTGCATGGAGTCGTAAATTATTTTCAATATTCCACTACATGCTAAATCGGATTAACGACTGTAATTCAGTCTGCTTCTAGAAGTAGACCCCGACTGATTAAAGATAAAGTTAAAGTGATCCAATTTCAGCCAAACGTAGCAAATATCTCCTTAGTTGACGGGATTAAAATTCCACTGATTACATAAAACAAGTAAAATCGAGGAAAAATCCTTTGTGCTCCTGATCCGCTACTAATAATGGATTTCTTTAATCTGAGCTACAAATAATATTAGTGTGATTATAACTATTTAAAAATGTTAAATGACAAAGTCATCACTATTTGTACTCCATACTTTTGCCACTCATGTATAATAATTATTATCATTCAACATGCGGCGGAATAAAGCATGCTAGTCTGAGACTAAGGATATTCACTTAAACGAGCATTCAA